GCACACATATTTTACTTTCATGTGTCTAATCTACCTTTTTGTGTCTAGCAACTGCAGGATTCGACAAAGTTCATAAAAGAGGGGGACGAACATCATGTGAAGCCAACACAAGATCCAACTCCTTCAGATGAAGGAAGGCACTTAGAAAACGAAATTTCAGCTGGTAAGTTGGATGGTTGTGACTCGGAGGATGAAAATGATTCTAGTAAGAAAAAGAAGCGTGCGGCTCATTCAGCTCCAAGTGAACGTTGTTCTGGCAAGGTTCCTAAGTTTGCGTGTTATGATGTCAGAGCTGATCAGGTCATTGATCCTTACTCCATTACTGAATGCCTTCGTATTTTAAAAACCATGGGAGACATACCGTATCCTATCGTAATGAAAGCAACAGCTAAATTTAAGTCACCAGCCGAAAGGGAGACTTTTGTTGGACTAACTGAAGATTGGAAAAGGGAATGGGTGAAAGATTTAGAGAATGATACTTATATTTAAACTCTAATAAGAAGGAACCTTCTTCTTTTTTTTTTTTTTTTTGGTGACCTCGGGAACTTTGTTTTGTTTGAATTAAACTTTATCGTGTTTGAACTTTCTTGTTTTCATTAATTTTTAGAAAATGGTATTATTAATTATATATACTACGTACTGTGATGACTTTGATTTTTTTTTTGTACAGTAATTGATTTTTATTTGTCATTGGTTAGGCATTAGTAATATACTTAATTTCAGAATAAATATTAAAGTATAATAAAATTAGTTAAAAAAAAAAAAAGAGGTTAACCGTTACCGCATGCATTTTCTCCGTTCTTATTTTCATTTTCTAGTAGATCTAATGGTAAGTGCTGCATCGGAAGATGGTTCGTTTTCTTAAACCCCTCGTCCCTTTGTACATGTGGTTTATGATGATGAGCAGAAACATTGAAATGCTTACTGAAGATCATTTTCATTCTCTGAAAGAAATTTTCTTTATACGTTTACAAAAGACCAAAGCTCAAGTTACAGAATGGAAGGAAAACCATTTTCTAGATATGACAAATTGAAAATGTTTTCCTGAATTTTTTTTTTAATTTTTTTTTTTTACATTCTTTGCCATGTTTTCCTGCACTAAACACGCACTGGTAAGTGGTTTTTTGTTCAGAGCACACACAAAGGCGATTTTCAACAAGATTTGTCTACTCAAACTTAAAGATACAAAGCCAAACAGCATCAATTTTACACATCCTTTTCTCTTTACTTCTCTTTCACTTTCCATATTTCTTGACTGTTACATGATACGGTATTCTTTCTTCTATCTGTGTTTACATAATAAACACCTTGACCATCTTGCCTAGTATCTACGAGGAGAAGAAAAAAAAGGTTCTGCCAGGATACAGATAAGTATAGCTGGTCTTTATAGATCAGTATGGCAGGAACCAGAACTTGTTCAGTTTCAGTGTTCTGTATTGCATCCAACACTTGTTCAGTCTCAGTGTTCTGTATCGCATCCAACATAACCGCAATCTAACTATACTTTGGCACTCTTCAGTACTGAAGCTAGACCTTCGGCACTCATTACTTTTTAGCTTACAACCTGCAAATAACACTGGGAGTCACTTCAGGTAACAATTAGGCACAGATTTAAAGGCGGTCATTGTGACAAATGGCTAGTTAGCTTATGCAGTTGAGGTTTGCCGTAAAGGTTGAGCATCACCTCGAACTTCTTTGGCATGCTGATTGTCAATTGGCATGTACTGTGACATGATAGCAATAATCTCCGAGTCCATGTAAGACTGCAAGCAGAATCATGTTTACCATAAGTATATTGTTACTCATCAAATAACCAATTAAACTAAGATGGTTAGTCAGTCCATGCAACATGGTCTAGACATACCCAGAGCCTCTATTTGTAAAATATATAACCAGCTAGGCCAGCACCCATCACGACTACTATTACAATGAAGGTGAGGAACCATCCGAGTCTTGATCCACTACGTTCTGTCAGATGAAATGCTTGGCAACAGATATAAGGAAATGGCATTTTACAGATAAATTAGAACTCAGCTGACTATAATATATTGATTATAAATGTAAGCAATGAAGTTTCTTGCTGTCTTACCAATACAAACATCTTGTTCCTTTATATAGAGACGACTGCCCTTACACTTGCATTCGTACCCACCCCAAGTGTTCTTCAGGAGCAACCATCACACTGACAGACAAGACCTTCCTTGCATTCATTGATATCTGAAGAAATTAAAGTCAGTGGATACAATTGATGCAATTCTATGAAAGGATAAGAAACTAAAAGAAAGCACTTCAAATATTAATGAATGTATTAAACTGCTTTTCAGTAGTGACACTGGAAGAAGAAAGCACCTTCACATTTATGACCATCCCCACGAAAGCCCTGTGGGCATTGACAGCCCCTTAACTGTGTTTCCTGCTTTGTGTAAACAACTAGTTAAGGTAAGGAGTATGAAGATGTACAGAAAACCAATTGTAAAAGTGAAAGTTAAGAGAAAAATCACTAAACTGAGCATGCGGAGAAGGTTTCTCCAGTTCTTGTTTCGGACCAGCAAACCTCCATTATTAATTGTGCGCCTAGCTGGTCCAAAAGCCGAAAATAGAGGAGCAAAAGGGTAGGTGGCAATTGTGGGCAAAAACAATAATTTGTCAAAATGATAACTTGTTTCCAGATGTCAGTTAGGATCTTCAGGAGACAGAAAGGAGTAACAGATTAAGGGCTTGCTGATCAGTGGGTAGGATTAAGGAAATTTCGCAACTTCTAGCGGAAGATGCTCTCATTTCAAAGCCAGCATGTTAACTACTTAACCTGAAATGAAATAGAAACTATTTGTGTTCAGTTAGTAA